AACAGAACTGTTTCTAAGCAGGATTTTGTAAACAAATCCGTATTTTAAATGCAGTTAAGAAGTCCAGACTTGAAGGGCCTTTGATAAAGCTAATTATGCCTTGATTACTCCCTACTTTGATTAGTTTAACGTTTAGGATAGAGAGAGAGAGAGAGAGAAACATCAATGTGTGAGAAAAACATTGATCGGTTGCCTCTCATATATTCCCCAACATTGCATCAAACCTACAATCCAGGTATGTGCCCTGACCGGGAATTGAACCACAACATTTTGGTGCATGGGCCGATGTTCCACCCAACTGAGCCATCCTAGAGGCAGGCTGACCAGCATAAGGCTTAGTCATTAGTGGTTGCTTAAGGGACAGCAATGCAAATGCATGATGCATGATGCATGAGGAAGTCAGCAGGGCTTGATGCTTGAATGGGCCTACGTGGTACAGCACCAGGAGTTACTCACCAAGGGCTTCCTTCCAGAAGAAAGGCCTTCTCACTGACAATTATGGTGAAAATTGTTTCTCTTTGACCAAAGATAATGCTTAGCAGCTCTGTTTTAACTGTGTCCTATTGAGAATTAGACCCATAAAACTCAAGTAAAAGGAAGACATATATTTCAGCACAAGGATTGACCAAGAAAGATATGTGAAGCTATTAGAGGAGGTATGTCCAAACACTACCCCAAAATAGAGACCACTTTCAACCTGGGTGTCTTTGTGTGTTTGGGTGGCTATAACAAAATCCCACAGACTGGGCGGCTTATAAACATAAACATTTATTTCTCACAATTCTGGAGGCTGGCAGTCCAAGGTCAAGGTGCCAGCGTGGTGTGTTCTGGTGGTGGCCTTCTTCTGGGTTATTGACTTCTGTGTCCTCATCTGGCAGAAAGGGCTACGGACCTCTCTGAGCCTCTCTGATAAAGGCACTAACCACTTCCCAAAGGTAATGCCATCACACAGAGCATTAGGATTTCAACAGATGAATTGGCAGGGGACACGAATATTCTGCCCACAGCACTATGGAAGAGTGCTATAATTGCACAGGCTGTTAAAGAGACAGACCGGCGAGGAGAGAATACTCTAATGCTCACTAATCACAGAGTCCTGATGAACTTCACATCTCTCTGAACTTCCCTGAGGAGCCAGAACGCAGGAACACGTTCTCAATCCATGCCTATTAATAATAGCAGACACTTAACAGGTTGGAGGATAAAGTATGGAAGTCTTGACAGTCTAGCTCTTCTCCTGGCGTAACTGCAATCACTCTGTATCTCTAATGGGTGTGCTGTTATGGTCTCCATCTCTCATTACTTGACTTTTTGTTCTCTTCCCTTCTGTAATTAATTGAAGACTTTCTGTGGTTTCTAGAATATTCCACCAGAGATCCATGTTTTCTTGTCATTTTCTCATTCTACCTTCTCCATGGCACAGCTTCCACAACCAACTTTCCTATTCCATTTGTGACCCATCAGCACACAGAAGTAAACTGGTTATGAAAGGTCTGGTAAGGGTTTGATAGAAGAGCCTTGGTAGACGTGGGTTTTATACCCAGCGAATGTATCATCATTGGCTCCCTTTTGGTATGAGGTTTAACTCTTTAATTCTGGCATCCTCATCTACTCAATGAAGATTCCAACACCTGCTCTGGCGGGCAAGTGAAGGCTGTGATGAAGGACGTAGCACCTCTAGCACTTCTCCGAGAGCAGGCTATCCACAGAAAACTGACAATGGACTGATTTATGTTGCAATAGTCATTCATAACTTTTAAAAAATTAGGCACACACAGTAACTTACAGAATTTGTCTTTCACTTGGTTAAAAATTTAGCATTTTAAATATGCCACATAAATTGGTAACTTAACAATTTAATTGTAATCAATAGTGGCCTCTTGAACTTCATAATAAATATGTGTTAAATCTTCAAAAACAGCATTATACTTTCCATGTGAGAATACGAGTATCTTATTTTAGAGAGGGGAATAGCCCTCTGTCTACGCTTTCAGCAGCCTACTGAATTCTTGTAAATAAAGCAGGATAAAACAACTAAAATCCTAGCTACTTTTTCTAGAGAATGTCCCCTCCTCTTCCTCATTATTTTTAAAAAGCAGCAAACGCAAGGTCAAGAGCTTGGCTCTGTTCAACTGTCTGCATGGGTCTCATTACTGTGGCCGGCTCTCCCTGGCTCCTAAGGACACCTTGCTCAAGGTCAGCTGAGACGGCTTTGGAGGAGCCACACCTGACTGTACTGGTGGAACCTGAGCTCTGAGTCATTCACTTGGCAAAGAGCTGATCTAGGAAAAGGCAAAACTCAGAGAGACGCTGGCCTGAAAGACAGATGAGTCATGGACAAGGAACAGATCACTCTCAATGGAGGATCAACTTTAGGAACATTGAAATGGAGAAAAAAACAGTGTTTGGGGGAAAATAGCACTTATTTTTGGTCAGGACCATTTAACACACAAAAAATCTGCAAAGGTTTGTTTTTGCTCCCAGCAATTTCTCACGTACCTACCACTTATGCTATAAAAGAACAAAACGCCCTCCCAGGGAAATTGTGAAAAAGGAAACTGTCCTAGAGGAACTATCAATTACTTAAGTTTGAAGAAGATAAGAAGAAACTAAAACCAAAGGGAACATTATAACCTGAAATTCCAATCACATGAATAATGCATAGAAATCGGTGTCTGTATTCCTTTAAAGATGACTTGCACAGGAGGTTTTATATTATAAGTTGGAAAAACTCAAAAAGTTTGACTGAAAGACTATTACAAGGTCATTTTATCCTTCATTTTCGTTTTAGTTTCTTTAACATGGTACCATTTTTAAGAAGAATCCCCCTTGTATTCCAAAAACAATTCTTAAGTACATGAATTAAGGAGTAGTGAAAAAAGTTGATGACAATATAATACACATGTCTTCATAAGACCCCAGAAAAGAACCAGTTTTAAAGAACTTTAAATGCAAAAATGGCCCCAAATAGTTGAAAACATTTGGACAATAAGACAAAAACTATTCTTTTCTCAAGAATTTCTAAAGCACTAAATAAATGTTCCTATCTTATTTACGGGAAAACTGGTATAAAACCAACGTCAAGTAACTTGTACACCATGATCTACTCGAGAATTAGATGTAGGGGCCAGGATTTAGTGTCAACAACCCAGGTGACATTGTGTTAATGAATCACAGGGTAAAACCCTTTTTAATTTTCCCGAAGCAGGACCTAGCTAAATAATGATACTGACAAAACTCAAGATGGCTATGCCTGCGAAGGGAACTGACTGTCTTCTCCAGATAGTTCCTCTGGGAGGGAGGAAGGAGGGGCCTCCACTTCTCGAATGTCTATGTGTGCCAGGCACTTCCAGAACTATGCCATGTAACCTTCCCCAACCCCCAACTAGCTTGCTGCTATTCTTCTCTGGCTTATGGGAAACTGAGGTGTAGAAAAGTCCATTAGCCTTGGTGAGCAGGAAGTTAAGGTTATAGCCATGTCTACTCAAACCCCGTGCCTCCCCCACCCCCCATCCTTTCCTGGCCACTAGGAGCAGCAAAATGACCTGCTGTCAGAAGCTGGCTCGGTGAGCATTAACATCACGTGGCTGGGTATGAGAATGGAGGTGCTGAGCACCATGAGAGGGGCCCATAGGCCCCTGTTTGCTGTGGACTTTTCCTGCTTTTAGCATTTGAAAGTCCCACATCCCAGAAAAGCCCTCACCTGGGGGCAGATGGGAGTGGAGAGTACAGCCCAGTCAGAAGCATTCCCCATTCAATCCACCTGTGCTCAGGGGCAATTCTACTCCTCCCTGCCCCCTTGATAAAGGCCTGGGGGTGGGAGGCACCCCGTTCCTTCCAACCAACAGGAGCCCAAGACTTTCGTATCAGAACTTCCTATATCTGAGATAAGAAGGTAAGGTAAAATGGTGAGACGTGGATTTCGGGGTAGGTTTTGCTGGCTTCTCTTTGTCTCAAGAGATTGTAGAATTCCACCTGGTACAAGCTGATTCTTACTTGTCAGGCTAAGACAGATTCTGAGGTTTGTGGACAGTATTAACATCACCTAGCAATGTCCGTGTAATAACAAACGATAAAATGCATAGCGCAGGCTATAAGCAATGGTACAGGACCTAAAGAGGTTGGAGAGGAGACTCCAGGAAGGCTGTCAATCAAATCAGAACACGTGGTCACTGGGGAATATGGCATCAAGGACAAGACTTTGTGTTCTCATGAGGGCTGCTCTTTACCACTCTTCAAGTCACTGCAGACAGGACTTAGCCAGAGAGCTGTCTCTCTGTTTCGGAAACACTCCCAATCTCCTCACTTGCTCTCAGGCCCTCTGTGAAGAGGAGGGACATTGGGACCTTGACGTTCGTCCACTTCCTCAGCTCCTTCATGGGTCTGGTGAGAGGATGCCTCCAGACTCTCCATCACCTGGGAGTGGCATGGACGTGGGGCAAAATACCCAGCAGTGTCTTCCATGGTGCACACACACCTCCAGCACCTGCCCGGCTCTCAGGCTGTCCCTCGGCTGGCACATAGGTCCCACCCCCTCCACATGGCCTCCTTTGAGAGGCCATCCTGTGAAGATCTCCCTCCCAAAACTCCCACGGCACTTGGTGCTGGTCCCATACTATTTGGCGTGTCAGAAACACCACCTCATTTCCCCAGCTACAGGCAGTGTACTGCTCACTGCAGGGTAAAGATACCCAGTTTTATATAGTCTTCAAATCCATGTACAGCTACCTACCTGGTTACTGTTAAATATAACACAGCTTTGAAAACTGTAACTGCTGGCAGGTATGTAGAAGATGTCGTGGAAAGCTTTGGGAAAGCAAATCATCACTACTACTATTTGGTGCCGGCAGGGACCTCAAAGGAGAGGACTCTTTTTTTTTTTTGCCAGACAGCAAACTATCTGAAACCTTGCCTCATTGCCTTAATGTAATAATGACAGGTTTTCAGAGAAAATCAATAACTTCTTCTGAGAATGGGTCAAAGCAAAACAATATACTTACTTGAAAGGAATGGGTACTTTATAGACGGCAGGCAGAAGTCACAGGAATCCTTCCTTTCTTAACGTACGCCCCGCAGCAGGAAGTATCTGAAATTAGAGGAAGAAAAGACTACTATTGTTGTTTTATTTGAAAGAAATAGGCAGTCTATTAAATATAAATTAGCAAGAGAAAATGATAATTCTTTTAAGTCGGTCATTAAGTTTTAAAATACAAATAGCAAACACGAAGGTAAAACAAAATGTGTTAGTTTTTATAAACTTCATTTAAAGTCAAGTGTTTTGCTCCCTTCAATTGTGGTGTTTTGTTTTGTTTTTAATTCTCACCCAAGGGTATGGTTTTCATTGATTCTAGAGAGAGAGGAAGGGAGATGGAGAGAGAAAAACATCAGTGTGAGAGCAACATCGATTGGTTGCCTCACGGACATGCCCCAACTGGGATCAAACCTGAGACCCTTCAGTACACAGGACAACACTCAACACTGCACAACACCAGCCAGGGCTCAGCTGTATTTTTTAAGGAGACACTCAACCTTAGACAGCAATTATACAGAAAGGAGAATATAAACATCCAGCTGTGAGAAGTCACATAAATAAAGGTTTCCAGGACGTCATCTCATTTTTGGAACTGAGTCAGTCCTCCCGAGGTTGATAGACAGGTTGTTAGAGTTTCAAAGGGCCTTAGAGCCCATGTAGTACACAACCCCCACTTCAGACCAGGAGCCAGAGGCCCACTCAGGAACCAAGTTCTTCTGTTCTGGGCTCTGGGGGTTAAGACCAAAATCTCTGACCTCTGAGTCTATACTCCAGAAAGAGGAGACTAAATATAATAGATACCATCTCAGAATGTCCCACTGGGCTGGAAGGTGGAGACATCTGAGCAGAATCCTGAAGGCAGTGAGGACATGAGCCATGGGTCTATTGAGGGAAGCAATTTCCTTGCAGAAGAGGGCAGCCAGGGCCTGAAGGGGGGACATGGAAGTGGCAGCTAAGTCTGTGGCAATGGATGAACCAACCAATGGAAAGCAGGTGACAGGAAGCTGATGAAGGATAGAATCTTGGGGAATATCTACTTAAAAGGTGGGTAGGAGCCCTATAGCCAGTTTGGCTAATGGATAGAGGGTCATCGGGCTGCAGACTGAAGGGTCCCAGGTTCGATTCTGGTCAAGGGCATGTACCTTGATTGCAGGCTTGATCCCTTGCTCTGTTCAGGGTGTGTGCTGCGGGAGGCAACCAATCGATGTGTCTCTCTCACATCTCTCTTTCTCTCTCCCCTTCCCTTCCACTCTCTCTGAACATCAATGGAAAAATATCCTTGGGCGAGGATTAACACTCACACACAAAACAGGCGAGTAGGACAGGGGACTGGGAAGGAGCAGTCAGAGACAGGGGGACACAGGAGGAGGGCCATCAGGGCTAGAGAGCTGCCGCCTTTGACAATCAGCTCTGAGGACACTTCCCACTCGGAGAGTAAGGGCTGGGGAAGGACGGCTTGTGAAAAAGGAAGTGTGGAAGCCTGACCAGGGCAAAACACTACAGAATTAGGAGGGATCTCTGACTGCATGCCCTGCAGCATTCAAAATCCGTTTTCATGTACACAGTTTACTGGTGGCAAGCCTGGTGACCCTGAGAGTGAACTTGCCTTCCAAATTTGGCAAGATTTAAAATATGTCTAAATTCAATTAAGTGTATAAGAAAAGCAAAAGGCCTTAATCATAGTAAGATTAAATGCAAGTGTTGTCACCGAAGCCCACATTTTACAAGCTTGTCTTTAATAAGCATGTACAAAACAAATGACTTTAATAAATAAAAGAGTCTGGTTAAATAAATAAAGGAGTCAACAGGCATCCAACAACAAATGATAATTCCTGGCAATGCCAACAGTTCCAGAAATGATCACTAAATTACTTAAGAGTACAAGAGTAATGAAAATATTTTGTAAGTCGAGATGCATTTTTAAACTTTCACATACATTTAAAATTTTTTCAAATCCCATGTGATGTAAATCTATGAAGACAAATAAAAACACTTCCATGCAACAATCTAATGTGTATTCTTAGAAGAGACAGAAGTAAGAAAAAAAAATATAGTTTATACAGTTGACCATTGATCATTGTTTTGAACTATGCAGGTCTGCACTTACACATGGATTTTTTCCATAAATACCTGTACTGTTTTCTAGCCTCACTTGGGAGTCCATGGATGCAAAGGGCTGACTGTATGCATTGATCTAGGCCCATGGTCGGCAAACTGCGGCTCGAGAGCCACATGCGGCTCTTTGGCCCCTTGAGTGTGGCTCTTCCTAAGCCTTAGGAGTACCCTAATTAAGTTAATTACAAAGTACCTACCTATAGAGTTTAAGTTTAAAAAATTTGGCTCTCAGAAGAAATTTCAATCGTTGTACTGTTGATATTTGGCTCTGTTGACTAATGAGTTTGCCGACCACTGATCTAGGCCATTTTATATGAGAGACTTGAGCATACTCAGAGAGTGGTATCTGTGGGGGAGTCCTGGAGACAATCCCCCGCGGATACTGAGGGTAGTTAAGCTTTTGGATAGTCAAAAGCTATATGTGGATTTTGGACTGTGTGGGATTGAGTGCTCCTAACCCCCACATTGTTCAGGGGCCAATTTATTACATTTAATACGGGTCACAAATAAGACACATGGTGAAACTGAAAGTCAATATTATACACACACACACACAGAGATCTGTGGCCCACACTGACCCCCACTTAACAATAATGGTAGTGGATGTGGTACGAGATGGTTGGGAAACAGTTCATTCTGGATCAGGCACTAGTAGCTCTCTACTCCTGAAGCCTTCTGGTTTCTCCCAGCCCCCTTTTTCTAAAGAATTGGTCACCCTGCGTGCACTCACCGAGCTAAGTGCCCTGTTCTGCCGTTTACACTCCCTAGTATGATTGGTTTGCTGCCTCCCCTAAGTAGGCTGTTGCTTGTAGGGTGGGCTGTGTCTTCCATCTTTCTCTGGCTAAGGCTTAGCACAGAACCTAGCACAGGGTAGGTGCCTCTAATTATTGAATAAAATAATGAAAGAAAAAGTAAATAAATACACTTAGATGACAGGCCTAGTGTCTCTTGAAATGTTTTTTCAATCCAGGAAACGTTAGGAGGGTCAACCGCGAAATATTTATTGATTGCTAATGACAGATCCCCCTCCGTTCTTTTCATATCACAGATGGCCAAGGGGCCAGCCACACAGCCACCCATACTCCTCCATCCAACAGCAGGTATACCCAGTGCTCCTCCCCTGTTACAGTCAGTCCAGGCCTGTTCATTCAGCCCAGCTGCTTCTGCCACATCATATTCTACATGAAGTGACTTTTCATTTCCAAACTGATGACCACTTTACGGCTGTGATTATAAGCCGCGAGGAGAAAAACTTCGAAAGTCTTACTTACAACCGAGACTGTTTTCATTTAAAAATACTATATGTTTTGTACTCTAGTTCATGCTAATAGACCTATTTGATGGCTCAGAAATGTCATTCTCTCATCAGTAAAGAGCTATGAAATTACAAGGAGGGGAGAGAACAAAATTTTAAAGTGCCCAAGAAATTTATCTTTTACTTTCTTATCTCAGAAATATATAAAGCTTCTGTTTAATGTAATTAAAAATGGTAAGATGTGATTCAGCTGAAGTTAAAAGTGTAGATTTTGCAAACATGTAAATAACATTTTATTTGGTGCTATTAGAAAAATGCCCCTTTAGTATATGGTGGAAGGCCCTGTAGGGTATCACAGTGCATTACACAATATACACATACCATTTATGTTACATTTTGAAGAAGTTCCTTCCAGGCACCAAGAGTCTTTTAAGACCCAGCCCCTGGGAGTCAACAGCACTTAGAATACCCCCCACAGCTTCGGTGGCACACAGCTTAACACAGGGCTAAGCTCATAAAAGGAGGTTTACTAGTACAATTTTTACACCTGACAATAATTTATTTTTAAAAATTATTTTTAGAAAGAGAAAGATAGATGTGAAAGTGAAACATCCATCAGCTGCCTCCTGCACGCCCCCAACTGGGGGTCGAGCCTGCAACCCGGGCATGTACCCTGACCGGGAATCCAACCAGCAGCCTTCCCATGCACATGAGGATGCCCAACAAAGAGCCACACTGGCGAGGGCAACACTCGTTTATTTTTAAGGCAGTCTGCCTCTTAGAAATTCTTGAAGACCAAAGTAATTTAGGAAGCAGTTTAGGAGATGAAGAGGGAGAGATGATTATAGAATGACATCAATTTATTCTTCCCCAAACGAGCGTCCAAGCCTTACTGTGGATACAGAGAATGAGGGAGTGAACCAGGAGAGCAGGGTCTGCACACGTGAACAAGGGCAACATCGTTCGTTGCACTTTCCACCACTGCTCTGCCACCTTCTGGAATTGGAAGGAGGTGGGGTTTGTTCCAAGGGAGTCCAACGAGGAAGTAAGTGCTCAGTAGAGCATCCCTCTTATGTTCATTTCAGCACACATGGTACCTTAAAACTGAGCACTGCAGATTGTTTAAAGGCATAGAGAGCCTGTATCACAATGGATGACTATCAACCTTTCTTATTCTAGATCAGTGGTTCTCAACCTTCTGGCCCTTTAAATACAGTTCCGCATGTTGTGACCCAACCATAAAATTATTTTCGTTGCTACTTCATAACTGTAATCTTGCTACTGTTATGAATCATAATATAAATATCTGATAGGCAGGATGGTCTTAGGCGACCCCTGTGAAAGGGTCGTTCGACCACCCAAAGGGGTTGCGACCCACAGGCTGAGAACCACTGTTATAGATGATACTGTATTACAATAAATGACAAACTTTCATAATACTTGTTTTTTCCTTAAGACTGATATTGGAATGAATTATTACATTGGATGATTTATTACCTTCAGAATAAACGAGGGAGGGGTTTGGGGAGGGGCAGTGGAGCAGAGTTAGTGATCTGAAGTTTTCCTCTACCAAACAATACACGGAACCCCTATAACCCATATCTACTTTTAAATCAAAGCAGTTTTGTTTAAACAAGGTACTTAAATGGCCACGTTTGGCTTTTTGGGAGCAGGGAAATAATTCCCGATGGCTTTCAGATATCACTGGGCTCTCCGCTGATAGCAGACGCATGGTGGCAGCCAGCCAGTCGTGTGACTGGTGACTCAATACACAAGTTTCTGTGGTCTCCACAATCGGATACGGTGAGCATGTCCATGTTTAAGTTTGAGGACTAAATGGTAGCAAGGAGCTCTTCTGAAATAAAAGAGAGCTCTACAGAGAAGCAAAATCAATACACTGTCTGGGTTTCTCTAAGCTCAGCCTTGGCCATTTAAATGCTTCCTTCAGAATGTACCATCTTTCTTACGAATTTTAAGATTACTGATTGTTTGAGGTGGAAAACAATCCAGGCAATCTTTAGCAGAAGATTAAAAATGTTGCCAAGCATTAGTCTGAGTGGTAAGAACCCCACCTTCCTGTGATTAATTTCAACTCCAAAAGCAACATCCCTGCTAAACAAAGCCCCAGAGTCAAAAATTCTCCCCTTGGCACAGGTGAATACACACCTATACGTATGTTTGGCAGAATGAGATATGCTCTCACCCTCCGTGGTATGAAGGCTTAATGAAAACTACAAAGGGTGAAACAAAGAAAACCATCCAAAATGAAGGCTGCACTCAGCTTTGAAGAAACAATAGCACTTACTTCCCCCAGGACCCTGCACTGGCCTCAGGAGAGCTGCTGCCCTGTCCTAATTCACGTGTTTCCCTGAACTCTCCCAGACTGCTCATTATTCCGGAGAGCCTGGGCTCCATGCACACAAAGTCAACAGGATACTGAAACGCCCCCCCAAAGACACCTCGATCGATGCAACCTCAGGCTTTCCAAAACAGAAGAGAACCAATAAGAATCCCTCCCCAGCACATGCACGCTCGGAACCAGGTAAAAACAATATTCCTTCATGAATCGAGTAGCTGTTCACCAGCCAAGCCTTCTCCCGCAGAACATATTTCGGTACGGAACGCCGGGCTAGGCATGCTATTAACAACAACAACAAAAAAGCAGGATCAAATTAAACAGGGGACACGATGAACTCGCTTCATTTCATGCATGGCTGGGTTTTCCCTGCGAGATAAAGACTCAAAGTAATTACCATGAACTGCAACTTCCTCACTGATCGCCTTTGGCAGCTGGCAGTGGCTGACTGCCGATGCTCTACAACAAAGAAGAACGCCTTCTCTTCAGTGCCTTCCTCCTCCCGTAACGTTACCAGCTAAGCACCTCCACCGCTGCCAGAACACAGTGGAGTATCTCTGTATCTATGTCTCCGGTGCATAAGGAGTACAGTGGAAACCTATCAAGCCGGCGAGCAGCGATGCCGCAGCCAATGAGGAGAGCTCGGGCGGAATCCAGCACATGCTCTCTGAGGCGCAGGCTGTCACCAGCGTTTAGCAGGCTGCTAATCTAATTATAGCTAGTTTTGCGAGCACAGAGCTACTGGAGCAAAGCACAGAAGCAAATGAAATTTTAATAAATTAAACCCCAAAGACAAAATCGTCTTGATTTCCTGTCATTTCGAGGATGAATGTGCCACCTTGTAAACTGTAAGTGATTTTTAAAGTGCATTCTTGTTTTGCCTCCAATCTCGAGAAACAAAGAGTGGTTACCCCTCACGTCGGGTCCAGCTGACTCGCACTGCAGATTCCGGCACAGAGAATAAATGGCAAAATCAATACCTGGAAGGTATTAGTGCTAGTGCTGTAAAATCTGAGGCTCACTTTATTTACCCTGATTAGCAATTTGCCACTTATTTGTCCTAAAATGCTAATTAGTCTCCAATAGACTTTGAAATACCATGTACTTTCCATGCATAGTGGAAAAGTGCTCATCAAGGTGCCAAAAATCATACTCCTGAGGGCAGTAATCAATAATTTAGAGCTACAAGAGATGGAAGGGATACCAGAAATCACTATACAAAAAAAAATTTAAAGAAATTTGCCTATTCTTGAATCCAGGTAAAATGATTATGGAGTTAAAAATTATTGTGGAGTTTTTGGATCATCTTCAATAAAGTATTAAATACTTTGCCTAGATTGAGCCTAAAATGATGAGCAGCTATCAAATAAGATATCTTATTTTGAATCTGTTCCGAGACTATAGTTGAGTAGAACTCATACTAAGAAAAAAATGAATATCCAATTTTCAAAGTAAATTCTGTTAACTTCTATGATTTCTAATAATCAAACAGAACTGGATGATATAGTCAGTCTAATAATATATTGGACCAAAATAGAATTTTTCCTGGTCACATTGAAAAGCTTACATGACCACATTGTGTATGTTGAAAGGTGCAGCCACTATGGAAGACAGTATGGAGTTTCCTCAAAAAGCTACAAATGGAACTCCCTTTTGACCCTGTGATTCCACTTCTAGGAATATATTCCAAGAAACCAGAAACACCAATCAGAAAGGATATATGCACCCCTATGTTCATAGCAGCACAATTCACCATAGCTAAGATCTG